AAAAAATGGCACCCTGCAACGATCTATATTTGATATTTATAAAAAAAAATTCAATAAAAAATCAGTTCAAAATAAAATACTGTATGTAACAAAAATATTAATTTGATTAAATGTAATATAAATAAAAATATAAAATTAACAAAAAAAGCTTATTCGAATAAAAATGTATTTTCATTAAGAAAATTTATATTTAATATACGACGTATTGCTGCCCCCCTTCCCCCCTATGAATTTTTTTTGGGGGGGAAGGAGGGTGGTGCGAATTTTAAAACCAGGCTTGGGAATACGTGTGAATTGCGTGCTAAATATAGCTTAATATAGTTTTTTGATTTTCGCAAAATTTCCATTTTGGGCTATGCTGGCGAGACCCGCGAAATAGTCGAACGGATTTTGCTCGCATACCAGACACGTGCGAATTTTGGGGTCTATCGTGCAAATTCGTGCTAATTGCATGCTAAATATTGGAGTAGAAACGATTTTGAATTTCCAAGTATTTCCCAAAGTGGGGGGGGGGGGCTGGGGACACGTGCAAATAAGAAAAATTAGTATTTCGAAGCAACGGATTACGATAGAGTTTCGGGGTCTGTCCTGAAAATCCATGCTAATTACATGCTAAATATTGGCGTAAAAAAAATATTGAAATTAAGTTTTTGTGATGTGTGGGGGGGTCGGAGACACGTGTCTACAGCCCCCCACCTATTTTTTTGTTATCACGCCTAAACAAAACGCATGCAAATTACAAAAATTATCATGCAAATATATGCTAATTGCATGCTGATTATTTGCCAAAAAAAAAATTGGAAAATTCTAATGTGGGGGGGCTGGAGACACGTACGTTGTATTTTGGTCCAACTTAAAAGATAGGCTAATTGAAAAAGGGAGAGGACCACCGACCAACCCCGGGAGGTGCTCAAACGGGAATTTTGAGATTTTGGATGGACATTTTTGTTTATAAATGGTAATGCCATGGGTTTTTAAGCTAAAGTATCAAAAAAAAAAGATTTTCTTTACTTTTTAAGTAATAATTATAATATAATATCTAACTATAAAAATGTTAAATGAAAATCTCTGTATAGGCTAAATTAATGTCTATGGGTAGATTAGACCTCTTACAAAGGGTTAAATTTGTTTTTTTTTATTCATCAGATTTTAGTACGGTTATGTTAGGATAGGATTTTGTATAAATTGATTATATTAATCCACCGTAGGTGGAATTAAGTAAAAACGACAAACTTGGTATAACTTTGATGCTTTAGAGTTAAATCATACACTTACATACAAACAGCACGGGGTCCGCGATCTACCGCAGGTAGATTGCCTACCTGATAATGTACTGCTGTGAATCAGAATTTTTATTCCGGGCAACGGAAATTTTGAAAACCTAATATTAAATAACGAATTGAACAAAGTTTGAGTCATATAGAGTGAATACATTTAACGGGCAGCGAATTGCACTGGATCAGTCATATATTGTATGTATATATTATATATATATATATATATATATTATATTATATAGCATTATAATTTATAGAGTACATTTAGCACGTAAATAAAACCTGTGACATAGATTTCAATTTCGCTTTTATAGTATAGATAATATTATTAATATGTTACCGTTACCTTTACCATTTCGGTAAATGTACGAATATCGGTTAAACTATATAAATATAGGATACACAAATTATATTTATTTTATGATATAATATTAATATTAATTAAAGTAATACAATAGGTTGAATTACTTTTTACCAAAAACATAACATTTAAAAATGTCATTATGTGTATGAAATCTAATAATATATATATGAAAAGTTTTAAATACCACCCACGAATAATATTTTCAAGTCACAACAAAATAACTAAAATCATTATTTTTCGTTACAATATCAGCTAATTCCTTTCGCTTTAAATTAAAATTTCTATAGAAAAAATCTCTCTAATAACATGCTATTATAATTAATAATAATTATAGAATTCATTATTTTATATTTAATTTTTAGTAATATTATATGGTGTAAACTTGGGCAATAATAACATACAACTAATTTAAATGTTTGAAAATTTCATTGTGTAATTATATTAAACACATACAGTACTTGCCTATATTAATTATTTGAAAAATCAGTAGCTCTAAATTTAAAATTTGATATTCTAATGTAGTTTTTTTAATGTACCTAATAAGGCAATAGTACCACCCATTTACCATGGTAATAAAAAAAAAATTAAATGAGTATAGTGTGTTATTTATTATATACTTATTGGCTTAGCGCCTCAGCATTAGTTATTAAAGTGTGAACAACTGAAAAACATACAATTTTACAGCAATATATTAATAATATTATGCTGTTTTTAAAATAAAAGTTGCTTTAATTCATTCAAAATTCAACCGATTTCTAAATTCTTATATTCCTCGTATTTTAAATAAACAACTCTACAAAATGTATTTTTTTCGAATTTTGAAAAAATCAAAAACAGATTTTGAGAGTTTTTTGTTTAGAGTTTAGACCGTGAAATCGTGAGATCGTGAAATGCAAGAGGCTATTTAACATCTATTTTTTCATATATTACATTAGAAAACTGTACTTCCTAGAATATTTGGATTATATCCCAATTTTTTTATCGGTATTTATAGAAAAAAACGAAAATGTCAATCTAACCTAAACTATATAAATTATAAATAGATCAAAAATAGTTAATAATAAGAAAGTTATACCATTTCTAAAAGATGTATAAAGATAAACATTTGGTCTAAAATTAAAGTATTTGTAGTTAATCGTTTTTGAGTTACATAAAAATAAATAAAATCTTTTTCTTTTGTTTTTTCCCAATTATTTGTAAAGATACTGAGAGATTTATTTTTTAAACAAAGTACCTACCATTGTCCACTTACCGATTAGGTCCAACTTTCTATATCAGAAACCACCAGCAAAGATGAAAATCAGCATATTTTTCTAGGGTATTCATCGTGTATACAAAATAAAAACACATATCATTGTACAGTCAATACTATTTCGTATTGTCGTTGCTCCAATCAGAATTATTGATTTATAGAAATATATTTAAGTTTTACACGTTTATCTAATATATATATATATCTGTGAATTGGTGCGAAGGGAGAACTTCACTTTTTGGAAAAATTGAGATTATTTAGCATGTTAAAGCAATTAATTGGTTTAGTAGTTTTCATTAGTTTGAATAAGAGCCACTTTATGCCTGTATCTGAACTTGTGTGGCCAAAAACAGATACAAGATTGGTCAATTGAATTTGAGTGATTGGTCATAGGTACCTAGTAATTTATGTTATTTTTAAAAAGTATTAATACTTTTTGATATTGGTTCATTGTTTTTGTACCGAGCCACAGATCCACAATGTCCACAGATATTATTATTATTAATTAAGTATTTTTGAGTTTAAAGATTGAGTGAAAGATATTAATATTAAATTACTATAAAAATACTAAAAATTACTAAATGCTTTCAGAATCACTCAGAAAATATCCTTTACTGTTTGCTCTGTTCAGAGTAGCTACAAAAACCTATCGTGTACCAAACGATTCATTAATAATTGAGAAGGGGCAGAAAATTATAATTCCCATTTTTTCACTACATTATGATCCTAGATATTTTAGTGATCCCGAAGTATTCAATCCTGAAAGATTTTCCACCAAAGAAAAGGCAAAGCGACCTAATAGCGTGTATCTTCCATTTGGCGATGGACCCAGGATTTGTATTGGTATGTATATATAGTGGTTTATTATAGGGGGGTGATAAACGGGTATATCTACCTACGGCTAATATACTGCTTATCCTTTAAGAGCGACGCACACACTGCAGCGGTGGCGGTAAAATTCATGTGTCTTGGCGGTGGCAGTAAAATTGTGTCCGGACTAATTTTGCTGTAACCGCAACCGCCACCGCCACTGCTGAAGTGTGTGGGTATAATAAAAGGGAGTATACGGCACGCCTATTCTCTTCAGACTTCAGTAGTTTTTTTTTATAGAATACAGGTACTCTCTTCAGACTTCAGTAGTTTCTTTTATAGAATATAGGTACTTACTAAATGTACGATAAATAATACCGTGTAAACAACCCTATTAGAATTTCCATTGACAAAAACAAAATATTCTATGATTATTTGTAATTTTCAATTCTCAGATGGTAATTCGTATATACCGTGTGTTCGCGGAAACAGGGTACACTATTTATCACTGATTACCCTGTAAATATTTAATGGATCATACATTTTTATGACTTATAATTTGTTTAACTCATATATCTTGAGCATGCCCAACAAAACTTCATTTTTTTGGAAACCCTTTTTCGAATATCATTTTTGGATTGCCCGTTTTTTTAAGTAGTTTTGAACTACCAACTTGTATTCTAAACCCAAAATTTAAAAAATTAAATCTAGGTATAGTTAAAAAAAAAAGGTGCTCTGCTGTACAGTAGGTTAGAAGTGGGTCACTGTATAATGGATGCCGGATGGTATTAAATTTAAATTCAATGATATAATATCACTGAATAAGAAAAACGATTCTGAGCGGAGATGGTATGTCAGTCTAGATATAAGACATATTATATACTTATATCTATGGTATTCAAAAAAATTGACCTATAATAAATTCCAAATTAATCATATCACAATAACCATTACTAATAACTTGTACTAATAACTTGTTATACATCAACAACAAACCCTGATACTATCATAGATATATAATAGTGTACTTTAGAAGTTTCAGGTACCCACGAATAATATTATTGTATAATATTATTGTCAAAATTCGATCTTAAAATGTTTATAAAAAAAAATTGTAGCTATATATTTTTAATATTTTTCAACTGATATTGTAACAATATATAAGGAGCCTTAAATTAACTTTTTGGCCAAACAGATAAAACTTAATTGTTATTTTTTTTTTTTTTTAAAAAACTAAAAAAAGAAAGGTGGGCAAGTGGGTGTCGCTCTGCTGTACAGTAGGTTACAAGTGGGTCACTGTATAATGGATGGTATTAAATTTGAATTCAATGATATAATATCATTGTATAAGAAAAACGATTCTGAGCGGTGACGGTATGTCAGTGTATGTATAAGACATATTATATACTTATCTATGGTATTAAAAAAATTGACCTATAATGAATTCCAAATTAATCATATCACAATATCCATTAAGTACTTATAACGCGTTATACATCAACAAAAACCGTGATACTATCATAGATATATAATAGTACACTTTAGAAGTTTCAAGTACCCACGAATAATATTATTCAATCACAACAAAATAACTAAAATAGTTATTCTAGGTTTTTTAATATGTAATTTCGTCCAAATTTGAATTTAAAATGTCTGTAAAAATAAGTGTGTTCATATATTTTTTAGATTTTTTGGTTATAGTATGAACTATTTATGAGAACCTTGGTGTTGAATTTGTAATCCTTAGCTATAAAAACTGAACATTTTATAATTTATTAATTACAATGATTGATAATAAATTTTCGAGATTTTGATAAATTTTGTCAAAATTTGATCTTTAAATGCTTATAAAAAAAAACTGTGCCTATGTATTTTTAATATTTTTCAACTGCTATTGTAACAATATATCAGGAGCCTTGTATTAAATTTTTACACTTTTTGGCCCAACAAATAAAACTTTATTGATATTTATAGAAAAAAAAACTAAAAAAAATTGAAAGCTGTAAATGTCCATAAACAGCTCAAAAAGAGTCAAAATATTTTAAAAATTGTATGGTGTATAGAAAATGCTAATTTAAACATTCAGTGAAATTTTTATGTATCTACAGTTGTTCGTTTTTGAATTGCAACAAAATAAGGAAATCGCTACATGAGTAATCGAGTGAAAATCCAATGTTGTAAAAATTTTAATTTCAAACGCTCATAAAAATTTAATTTGACTGTCCGGTAGAGATTTTTTTATTGATCTTTATCAATAAAAAAACCTTTGTAGATAATCTTATAAGGAATCTTGTGTTTTTTTTTGATAAAGATAGATAATCTTATCTAATCTGGTATTACATTTTAAAACCTTAGATTTAAAAAGAAAAATTTTTACGAGATCTTAACTCAAAATAATTTGCTAATTTTCGTGATTTTTCCATATTTTGTCAATTTTTGAACTTTAAATGCTTATAAAAAAAAATTGTGACAAAGGATTTTTAATATTTTTCATCTGCCTTTGAAACAACATATTAGGAGCCTTCTATTAAATTTTCAAGCTTTCGCAACCAACAAATAAAATTTTATTGATATTTTTAGAAAAAAAACTAAAAAAAAACGGAAAATGAAAATGTCCCTAAACAGTTCAAAATTATGTCAATTGCAATATCAGCTGAAAAATATTAAAAATACACAGCCACAATTTTTTTTATAAGCATTTGAAGATCGAATTTTGACAAAATTTATCAAGTTTTTCTTATAGAAGGAAATCATATCATTGAATTCAAATTTAATACCATCCATTATACAGTGACCAACTTATAACCTACTGTACAGCAGAGCACCTTTTTTATTATTAAAGTATATTATAATAAATTAATTAATTTTTATGAAGTACTATTTTATTTTATTATTACATACACCTAATGAATTTACATAATTTATTATGAAAACATGTATTTTTAGAAAACAAAATTCCGAATTTCTAGTTTATTTTTTTTAACAATTTATAATTTGCAATGAAATTTATTTAAATTACATACATAAATTGTTGGAAATTCCCGGTTGTCTAGAGTGCATGCCTCAAATTTTGTTTTTGTCAATGAAAATTCTAATAGGGTTGTTTACACGGTATCATGTATTGTACATTTAGAGTACCTTTATGTCATGTAGTCGAATTCTATGTCATTTTTCTGGATTTAAATTTTCAAAATTATAAAGTGTCATCAATATGTGGCTATTTTCATTTCATATTCTTAATTGGGTTTTCATGTTTTTTTTTTGGAAAAGTTTGTTACCTAGGTACCAACATTTCTAAATATTTACAAAAGGCTATCTTCAAAAGAAGTATACTTGTATCAGTTCATCAGTTGTATCTGATAGTCGTAATAAGATCTTTGTTGTCATTTGTCATGTAAGTACAGGCGCGGACTGGCTGGGATGCTGGGATGCTACAGCATCCCTTGCCCTAAAATATTATTTATTATATATTTAAAGACTCTAGTCTCTAGACACCTAATTAACAGCAGATTGTTACCAACTTACGATTACTAGTAATCTATAATATTGTACAATTTTGATTGAAAGTTAGTTATAACTTGGTACTTATTTACGTTTTTAACTTATATTCAATATTTTTTTAAAACAATATAAAATATATTAATATTTTATAAATAATCTACATGTATTAAATTTGCCCCAACAATTTTTGGTATTTGTCTTTTAAATTGTGTAGCGTCCCTTGCCCTATTTTACCAGTCCGCGCCTGCATGTAACTTATTAGTAATTAATAATTATACATCATTCTATATACATACATTTGTTGAAATTTAATTTTTTTTTTGATATAGGAAAACGTTTTGCTGAGATGGAAATGAAATTAGCTTTAGTTGAAATTTTATCCAAATTCGAAGTGGAACCGTGTGAGAAGACCAAGATCCCTATACAGTTTAGTAAATTATCTGTGGTAGTGATTCCGAAAGATGAAAAAGTTTTGTTAAAACTAAATCCACTCTCTGAATAATTATTCAATTTCTAGATAGTATACTCTTTGATAAATGTATAATTAAAGTAATTTAAATATTAAATTATTAACAAGTGTTATGTAAACAAGTCTAAATTAAATACCTACATTAAATGTAATTTAACTGCAACTCAATAAATTGACAATAAAATACAAATTTGCAATCTTAAATTATTTTGCAAAGAAAATCTAACTTTTCCTTGTGTTTTACGTATTACTTAAGGGGGACGGAGTGGACTTCAAGAACAGTATTCTTATCAGCTAAGTGACACCTTTTCGTGGCCATCACAGATATACACAATTATTATTGCATATATCTGTGGTGGCCATAGACAATAAGTGGCCGACGGCCGTCCCCCGATCCCCACCGACCATGTCGTTTCCAGTCCATTATAATATCTTAGACCTTGTTTCCAGTCAAAGATATACACTAATATACTATATATGTGTTTCCAGTTCATTATATAATAGTCCGTGGTATCACCTTATCTTCTCTACATCGTACCATGAAGTTATGAACCATGACAAAATAGATCAAAAAATAGATCTATTTTGTCATGCCATGAACTAAGATAATATTATTATATAAAGTTATACGTTATACCTACAGAAATAGCACTATAGCAGTGATGCCCGCGTTGCCACTAGCTCGTTACCATGACAAAATTATTTAATCATGCTCCATTGCTCCCTACGCTGCTTGGACAAAAAAAAACGAAAATATCCCTCCGACTTGTTGTGCGACACCACCAAAAGTTGGTCACAGGTTAACCGCCGTAGGTTAACATTTTTATCATTTTCGGACAAGTGCTTATCACTCTTGGAATAAATTGGTTTAAAACTAAAAAACCTCCCATGAGTCTCATGAACACAGCTGAACAATAAACCCATGAAATGTCGCCATGAATAAACCAAAATCGAGATATGCGTTGTATTACAATTTATTTCATACTTGTATTAAAGTGTTATCAACGACTAGCAAAATGCCACAAATTCGTAAATGTTCAATTGACGGATGTGAGTGTTGTGAAAATCATAAAAATGTTACGCTATTCAAATTGTATGATAATACTAAAGTAGCTTGAGAATCAGCAGTACCTTTTATAAACAAACGGATTTTAAGGTATATTTGTTCTAAACGCTTTTTACCCAAATACCTTACAACTAAATATTCATCAATACCATCTGATGTTGTTATGCCTGAGGTAAGTTTAAATATAAATTATAATAAACACAATATAGTTGTTAGGTATGGTTGTTTTAACCAAATAATTGATGTCAGTGGTGTAAAAAGACAATTCCAATGGAGGGGTTGAAAATTAATAATTACAAATTTATTTTTATTTTGCACAGTATAATAATTTCAAGCGTTTATATGAGGTATTTGAAAAAATTTGTACAACTTCAACTTCTCAACTTTTCTTGTAGAAAAAATACTCCGATCATGATACTCTATATGATGGATCTTTTTGGTAGAAAATGGTTTGGTAACTTTGGTTAGACTTTCTTAGGCTGAAATACACTTTACCAACCGCCTCACGATTTTCAAAATTTTTTTTTTTCAAACGACTTTTTTTTATGCTCAAAACGATGGTGTAATTTTTTTTCCCGGAAACTTATTTTAGAAGTTATAGAATTCCAAAGTTTGCGATTTTACGTTTATGCGCTTGCGCTCTACGTTACTTGACTGCCTATAATAAATGTTAAGTAATACAAACGTATTTTAACAAGTTGTGGGACATAGTCATTTTTTGGGTGAATAATATTATGAATCACGTCATTATTAAGGTGAAATATAGACTATAGTTGAGTAGACTATAGTATAGTAGTAATTACTACCTAATTAGACTCAGTATATTAGCCCAATTAAAATATATAATAAATAAATAATAATATTTTTTGGGAAAACAACCCGAAAACCTATGTATTTCAAAAAGGTTTCAAAAAAATTGTATTTATTTTACTTATTTATCTGGCCTGCATTGTGTCTGGCGATGACCGGAGCCGATAGCGACGGGTGATCCCTTGAGTTTGAAGACCAGAGCCACTATAAATGTGTTACTTCAACTAAAAGGTTAAAATTACTTGTTAGGTCATCAGTCTGCCTGAAGGGCTGATATGCTCTCTCCTCCCAGGTTTGCTATTTAAGCCCTGGGGGGGGGGTTGGGGAGCTGAGTCCCCATCCAGAGAGAGGTCCGGAGGACCTTGAGTTTAGCGATCGGAGCTGGCAGGCGAAGAGAGCCACTATATATACTTATGTATTATGTAAACAGGTCAAGGAGTGAAAACACAAATTGACTATGCATACGGACTTGTAACTATTAGTATAAAAATCTCGAGGTCCTCCGAGGGACATTATAGTGGTGTTGCGCGCATAGGCGTATAAACTTAAAATCGCAAACTTTGGGAGGCTAAAACTTCTAAAATAATAGTTTCCGGGAAAAAAATGTACACCATCGTTTTAAGCATAAAAAAGAAGTCGTACATACAAATTATATCTTTTGATTCTTGAGAAGGAACCTGATCGGCTACAAAACATTTCAAACCGTTATATCCTATCGCCTGTTCTATAAAACTTAAACTGTCAATGAACGAACCCAAAACGTTCAAAATCATAATTAATAAGAACTTAGTTCACGTTCAAGTTCATATCTTGAAAATCAAACTCGTTCATGTCAAGTTCACACAATATGAACGCGTTCAAGTGAACACGTTCTTATGAAAGAGTTATTTATCCCATCACTGCTAATTTGTATTTAAAAATTGATTAAATAATAAAAAAGGTGCTCTGCTGTACAATAGGTTACAAGTGGGTCACTGTATAATGCAGTGGTTCTCAACCTTTTTTGTACGACGACACATTAATTTAGATCCATAAAAATAGCCACACACTTAAAATTGTTTTACTATTTATCAGTTATGAGATTACGTCGAAATCATTACGAGGGAATAATATCTTCATAATTGTTTTTCTTATCTCTGGGTTTTACTATTTCATCATAATGCAGAAATAATATCATATTAATTATTATGTCAAATTAAATTATATGTAATATATTAATATATGAATAATATAATATTTTGGTGACACACAACACGGTAATACGCGACACACTAGTGTGTCGCTACACACCGGTTGAGAACCACGGGTATAATGGATAGTATTAAATTTGAATTCAATGATATAATATCATTGTATAAGAAAATCGATTCTGAGCGGAGAGTATGTCAGTCTAGGTATAAGACATATTATATAATTATCTATCGTATTAAAAAAAATTTACCTAAAATAGGTACCTATTATAAATTCCAAATTAATCATATCGCAATATCCATTAGGTACTTATAACGCGTTATACATACTATATACTACATATACTTTATTGATATTCATAGAATTAATCATATAAAAATATCCTATGGTACTTATACATCAATTACAAACCATGATACTATCATAGATATATAATAGTGTACTTTAGAAGTTTCAAGTACCCACGAATAATATTATACAATCATAACGAAATAACTAAAATAGTTATTCTAGGTTTTTTTTTTATGTAATTTCATCCAAATTTGAACTTAAAATGACTATAAAAATAAACTGTGAGTATGTATTTTTTAGATTTTTTGGTAACAGAATTAACTACTTACGTGAAATCATGTTTTAAATTTTCAATCCTTAGATATAAAATTTGAACATTTTATAAATTTTTAACTACAAAATAATGATTCAATTTTAAATTTGATACATTTTGTCAAAACTCGATTTTTAAATGCTTATAAAAAAAATTGTAGCTATGTATTTTTAATATTTTTCAACTGATATTGTAACAATATATCAGGAGTCTTGTAATAAATTTTTACACTTTTTGGCCCAGCAGATAAAACTTTATTGATATTTATAGAACAAATAACTAAAAAAATTGGAAACTGAAAATGTCCATAAACAGTTCAAAACAAGTCAAAATATTTTGAAAATTTTATTACGTATAAGAATCGATAAAATATACAATCAGTGAAATTTTCTTGTATCTACAGTTATTCGTTTTTGAATCACAACAAAAGAAGAAAATCGCTATATGAGAAATCGAGTGAATATCCAATGTTGTAAAAATTTTAATTTCAAACGCTCATATAAATTTAATTTGACTTTCTTATAGACATTTTTTTTTGATAAAGGTAGATAATCTTATAAGGAATCTTGTATCACATTTTAAAATCTTAGATTTAAAAAGAAAAATTTTTACGACATCTTAACTCAAAATAATTTGCTAATTTTCGTGATTTTTCCATATTTTGTCAATTTTTGGAGTTTAAATGCTTATAAAAAAAAACTTTGACTAAGGATTTTTAATATTTTTCATCTGCTTTTGAAACAATATATTATAAGCTTTCTATTACATTTTCAAGCTTTTTTAACCAACTAATAAATTTTTATTGATATTCATAAAAAAAAAACTAATAATTTGGAAACTGAAAATGTCCCTAAACAGTTCAAATCAAAATATTTTGAAAATATTATCTTGTGTAGAAAATGCAAATATAAACAACCAGTGAAAATTGCATGTATCTACGGTCATTTGGTTTAAAGTTATACCAAAAACCAAATTCAATTTTGTGAAAATGGATTTTGAGTAAAAATTCCCGTTTTCTTTTGTTTTTCATGGCGCTTTTAAAACTACTGAGAAATTTTTACTTTTGACCCCATTATACCAACTAGATTCACTTTCCTATCAGAAAAGATACTGTTGAAGAAAATCTAAGCACTTTTACTGTCCTAAAAGGTGATGACAGACACAAAAAAAAATTTAAAAAATAAGCCTACAAGTGTAGGATTGATTCAGCTATCTAACCCTCTGAATATTAAAAATTTATCTGAAGGAATTCATTAATTTAATTACAAACAAGTTTGTCAAGGTGGACCTATGGCAATAGATTTTCCAGGTAATAAATTAATTGGATGGCTTGTGTTATTTATTTTAAAAAGTAATAACTTTTATTTTACCAATTTCTGTGACTATGGAGATTATAAAATCAATGGTGTTGACAAATTATGTTACAAAGGTTATGTATATGTTGTAAAGTATATTGGCATATCAAAAATATGTGGGCTTTTTTTCCGCCTTACGTTTATCAACACAGTGGCGTATATAGGGGGGAGGCCCCCTAGGCTAGAGCCCATAGTGAAATTGCAGGTTCAATTAAAGCATTGCATGTAAATCTACACTGTTTACAGTTTTTCACCATGATTAAGTTAGCCGGTTGATTAAAATCGTTTTTGAGGAATCAACAAGGAAATGTTAGATGGTCAGGACTTGCTTTGATAACTTATAATTGACTTTGATGTTAAATTCATAGTAAGATAACATTAAAAATTAAAATATATAAATGACACTATCAATATTTTTTAAAAGAGAATCAAAAAAGGTGGGCAAGTGGGTGTCGCTCTGCTGTACAGTAGGTTACAAGTGGGTCACTTTATAATGGATGATATTAAATTTGAATTCAACGATATAATATCATTGTATAAGAAAAACGATTCTGAGCGGAGACGGTATGTCAGTCTATATGTATAAGACATATTATATACATATCTATGGTATTAAACAAAAAATTGACCTATAATAGGTACCTATAATAAATTCCAAATTAATCATATCACAATATCCATTAGGTACTTATAAGCGTTATACATCAACAAAAACCGTGTTACTATTATAGATATATAATAGTACACTTTAGAAGTTTCAAGTACCCACGAATAATATTATTCAATCACAACAAAATAACTAAAATAGTTATTCTAGGTTTTTTAATATGTAATTTCGTCCAAATTTGAATTTAAAATGTCTGTAAAAAATAAGTGTGTTCATATATTTTTTAGATTTTTTGGTTATAGTATGAACTATTTATGAGAACCTTTGTGTTGAATTTGTAATCCTTAGCTATAAAAACTGAACATTTTATAATTTATTAATTACAATGATTGATAATTTTCGAGATTTTGATAAATTTTGTAAAAATTTGAATTTCAAACGCTCATAAAAATTTAATTTGACTGTCCGGTAGAGATTTTTTTATTGATCTTTATCAATAAAAAAACCTTTGTAGATAATCTTATAAGGAATCTTGTGTTTTTTTTTGATAAAGATAGATAATCTTATCTAATCTGGTATTACATTTTAAAACCTTAGATTTAAAAAGAAAAATTTTTACGAGATCTTAACTCAAAATAATTTGCTAATTTTCGTGATTTTTCCATATTTTGTCAATTTTTGAACTTTAAATGCTTATAAAAAAAAATTGTGACAAAGGATTTTTAATATTTTTCATCTGCCTTTGAAACAACATATTAGGAGCCTTCTATTAAATTTTCAAGCTTTCGCAACCAACAAATAAAATTTTATTAATATTTTTAGAAAAAAAACTAAAAAAAAATGGAAAATGAAAATGTCCCTAAACAGTTCAAAATAAATCAAAATATTTTGAAAATGTTATCGTGTATAGAAAATGCAAATATAAGCAACCAGTGAAAATTTCATGTATATACGTTAATTTGTTTTAGAGTTACACCAATAACCAAAATCGATTTTTTGGAAAACCAATTTTGAGTAAAAATTCACGTTTTTCCTTAATTTTTATGTTGTTTTTCCCGGCGCTTGTGAAAACTACTGGGAAATTTATACTTTTGACCCCCCAAAGTACCAACTAGATTCACTTTCCTATCAGAAAAGCTACTGATGAAGAAAATCGAAGCACTTTTACTGTCCTAAAACGTGATGACAGACACAAAAATATAAAAAAAAAAAAAAACACACATCATTGTAAAACCAATACATTCATCGCTCCGCTCAGAATCTAAAATTAATATTACATAATAATTAAATTGCGTAATTTTTATTTGTACTGTATATGTCATAATTATAACCACCCAGCTCCCTAAAAAATGTATAGTTATGGCTATGTTAGTTGCACAGATTTCTATAATCTATATATGTAGTATAGAAGTCTGTGGTTAGTAAGTTAGTTGTGCTATTCTTGACTAGTGCATAGGCGGACATTTGGTTGAATTTTTAGGGGGGCTGTAATAATCCAATGTAAAGTGACCCGCAGGGGCTTCGCCCCCGAACCCCCTTCCCATGCACAAGTGTAATATATTACTAATACAAATATGAATATGTTTAAGTTGTAATCAAAATAAACAACACTTAATAGTTAATATTTTATTTTATTTTAATAACAAATACCTATTTTTATCAGCAAATATATTAAAAATATCATTACTATTTATATTTTAGGACATATCTTTTTCAATATTATATAGAATAGAAAGATCGCTGAACCTATCCTGAAGCATGGATGTCCTTAGCCAAGTTTTTATTTTTCTCATTGCACTGAAACTTCTTTCGCAAGTAGCCGAACTGATAGGTATTGTTAATGCTATGGTAAATAGTTTTTGCAAATTAGGGAATATGGTTTTGTTTTCTGAAAAAACTCTTATAACATCTTCTATAGGTATTAAAATAACGTCACAACGACAACGGTCGTGATCCCGCGAGCCGACGTTCGACATATCGATAAGAAGTGATAACACGTCGTCTATCGAATATGCTCGTGACCGCATGGTAAATTGAATCGGTCATTTCGAAAAGGCCATTTCTCCACACATTTTCAAAACTAGTTTTATGTGATAGATGTGGTAACTAATAATAATGCATAACAAAAAGATAACATAATTATGAAAACAACGAATGACATTTCAAATTAAGTTTCGATTTTTGGGGGCTATTAAAATATTTAGGGGGGCTAAGCCCCCTAAGCCCCCCCGATGTCCGCCTATGGACTAGTGATAACTCCTATACCCTGATATGTACCATTCGGCTGATGCTTAATACAAACACCGGGAGCGCTTATAGACAATCTTACAGCGCATGCGTAACACTTGAAAATAATTTTTCTAACTGCCGACTGCGTGTTTCCGACTTGCGTTTTGTGCTGTGTAATGTTGTGTTCACTTGAAAATAATTTTTCTAACTCCCGACTGCGTGTTTGCGACTTGCGTTTTGTGTTGTGTAATGTTGTGTTCATAATTATTATTATAGACAAGTTTAATATAATCATAGACAAGTATAATATATAGTAGGTATATATTTAGTATAATACGTGTTAATATTTGTACGTTTTGTACTTATTTACCATGTCAACGCCACAACCTCTATATTATAAAAATACGTCAAGATGTGTCATTATTGGTTGTAAATCCAAAGGTAATATACGAATATAATATGTTAATTCATGATTTAATTAACAAAAATTTACATCATGGCACATGTCATTTACATACACGATACACCATATATGAACATTTTTGTCTTACGATTTTATTTTATTAGGTCTAGTATGCCATCGTTTTCCAAATCCAAACAGATACTTGGAAAGACTTCTAAAATGGATTGATATCATTGGTTTGGATAAAAGTGATGCATTATCTATTTACCAAAAAAAGGTAATTTGTGCTGATCATTTTGAGGACAGTTGTTCGAGTCCGGGCACAAAACGTCTCAACGTTAATGCCTATCCAACATTGAATCTACCAGGTATAACACAAAGCATATAGTAGATAGTAGACACCAGATATGTAAATTTTTTTTTTATAAAATACAGGTCAACAGTTATTACCAGTAGAAGATATAACAGTACCAGTAAATGTTAGTACTTCAAATGTCAAAATTCATAAAGTTGCTGATATTAATGTATCTGGCTCTGAAGTTGCTGATATTAATGTATCTGGCTCTGAAGTTAATGATCTAAATGTATCTGGCTGTGAACTTTTTGAAAATGAATTTGAAAACACACCTTCCAATTGCAAAAATTTAAAAGTTTCTCCATCCGTACTACGTGTAATGAGTAAGTTTCAGTTTATATTCAACACTTAACTTTTATAATTATTTTAGACATTAGTTATATGGCTTATGCTTGGTATGCTGAATGTTTGGGAAGTTACTACAAAAAAGTACTTAGGTACCTAACTTAAAAATAAGTTTCATTGTAGTAACATTATAATCATATTAAATTATTCCCCAACACTGCTTAATATGCTTAATATAAAATATGCAATGCTTTATGTAGATGATGGTGATGTAATATCAATGCATGTTGGCAATAGTAATGCTGTTAGTAGTTCATTAAAAGCTAAAAAGACAAATAATGCCATAGGTTAGTATTCATAATATATTTATTTTTAAAGTTAATATTTGATAATACCGTCTATATTAGTATTTAATTACTATCATCACATGAATTTGTTTTAATTACTTGCAGGATTGTTATGTAGTATTGGTGTTAAAAATAAAAGGCAACTTACTCCAAAATGTTTGAAACTGTATAACGCAACAAATATTTTGTTAAAAAAATGTAGGCGTGCCAAGAGCCAAAAATGTCTTTTTAAAGACAGACTGAAAGCAGCAGAAACACTTAATGATAATTATTTGACCGATAAATGTTCAAATAAAATAAATGCAGCCACTTCATTGTTTATGAAACTGCAGGTTAGAGAGACAAATAAGGCAAGTCGTGGACGAAGATTTAGTATTGATGAAAAAATGTTAAGCCTATCATTGTATAAAAGGAGTCCTAAATGCTATGGGATGTTATCAAAACTTTTTACTTTGCCTAGTAAAAGGACACTCAACACAATTTTATCAACGGTATCTATTCGGCCTGGAATTTCCCCTCTTGTGATGAGTGTACTCAAAGAAAATGTAAAGAAATTGAAACCAATTGAGCGGTAAATATATATACACAAATAATTCAAATATTTCATTTATATTATTTTTTGTTTGCTTATTATGTAGATTTTGTTCAATTATATTTGATGAAGTGTGCTTGAATGGTGGACTGCAATTTAATTCGACCACTGATGTTATTGATGGTTTTGTTGATTCTGGAGATAATAAGAGTCAACTGCTTGCTGATCACGCTCTTGTATTTATGGTTCGTGGAATTAAAAAAAAATTTAAGCAGCCAGTATCCTATACATTTTGCCAAGGAGCTACCAAACAACATGATCTTGTGCAGCAATTGAGAGAAGTAATGATACCATTTTGAATTTCAAATGATATTCATTATATAATATACACTATAATTGTTTTCAATAGGTAATTTGTCAAGTCCAAGCAACTGGTTTATGTGTAGTTGCCACAATATGTGATCAAGGATGTGCAAATGAAGGTGCTATAAATATTTTGAAAAATGAAACTAAATCATATTATGTAAAACATCAAAAAGATTACCGGGATGACATTTATGAAATTGAAGTTAAATCTGACGATGGTGTAGAACGCATTCCTATTGTACATTTGTTTGATGTACCCCATCTTTTAAAATGTACAAGAAATAACTTAATGACCAAAGATTTATGCTTCTCTTCTGATGGGGTCAAACGAATTGCTAAATGGGATCATTTAAGACAATTGTATGATACTGACAGTCTCATAGCGGACTGTAAAATGCTTCCTCGTTTGACTGACAACCATGTTATACCGGAAAAGGTACCAAAAATGAAGGTTCGAAATGCCACACAAGTGTTCAGTCAGCGGGTATCTGCAGTTATGAACTTTCTTGCTTGTAAGATTCCATCTTAACTATTATTCAAATATCAGAAATTAATTACTTTTTTATTTCTAGCTAAAAATATCATTGACCCAAAAGCTTCTGACACAGCAGCTGCCTTTTTATTTTTTGATAAGCTGTTCGATTCCTTAAATGGCTCATTCGATAAACAAGTTGACGGCAAAATATATAGAACATCTGTGAAACAAAATTCCGTTCATCATAAACTTTGGCAAGATAGTTTGAAAATATTATCAACAATGCAATTTGTTGGAAAGAATGGAAAAGCAGTTAGAGTACCAACACTTAAAAATTGGTCAACAACAATAAGAGGTAAATAATTTATAAACATTTGATTTAAAATTGTTTGAAATGCAATTATTAATTTTTATTTTTTAGGTTTTCAAACACTGTCGAAAATTCTTTGGAATAAAGGAATAAAATCATTACTCCCAAGACATCTGAATCAAGATTCATTGGAATGTTTCTTTGGTGCTATAAGAAGTGTTGGGTGTTCAAAACCAACTTGCAGTATATTCATTTCATCGTATAAAACTTTACTTCTCAACAATTTGGTGTCCTCGCATTCTCTGGGAGCAAACTGCGAAGATTTCAATGAAGACAGTCTGATGAGTTATAAACATTTATTTTCATTTCAACAAGAAGAATATCCTAAGCCAACTTCCACATCATTTGCCTTCCCAGAAAAACAAGTAGCTGAATCTACGAAGACTACTGAAGATTTAAGAGATTTAACGCATACCTACATCGCTGGATATATAATCAGAAAATTAAATAAATGTGTTTTTAAAAATTGTAAAACTTGTTTACAACAGCTGTGTAGTGATAATGCTCTTGATGAACATGCATTAATTGAAGCTAGAGAATATCAGTCATCAAGACCATCTTTGAAGTACCCAGCTACTGCATTCAAATATCTAGTTCAAGACATAATTTCGTACACAAGCAAAATGTTGCCTTCAATATGTCATCACTCACAATTGAGACAAGCACTAATCACAGACATATTAACTAAGTTCAATGTTAATATTCTTCATTGTTCTAAACATGAAACAGATTTCTGTACAAAAATAGTTAAGTGTATTGTAGAGTTAATTATTAATCATTGGTGTACAGAAGTCAATAGGATTTTAACGGGAAAACGCAAGATACGACTAAATGAAAATGACCCTATATATTTATTTGCAAACACATGGTATTTAAAACACTCGAAAAAAAAAATTGTTCAAGGTAAATATAACCTATTACCATAAATATTATTTTTTAAATTATTGACTGAGTTGGTACTTGGACACTTTTTGTTTTAATATTATTATTATGTTGGACAAAATTATTATAATTTTATAAAAACCAAATTAATAATTTTTTTTAGTCATATATATAACATACATGTGTATATATAAAAATATGTAAAATAAAATGTTTTTTTATTGCTTATTAATAAATATAATACATTTTTATCATGTAGATAAAAATATAAGATTTGTAATTTATACATATTTTATTGTTATTATTTAATTATATTTTGTTGTACATTTTGTATATTATCATGTGTATATATAAAAATATGTAAAATAAAATGTTTTTTTTTATTGCTTATTAATAAATATAATACATTTTTATCATGTAGATAAAAATATAAGATTTGTAATTTATACATATTTTATTGTTATTATTTAAATTATATTTTGTTGACTGTTGTACATTTTGTATATTATCATTTATTCTCATCATATTTTCAGTTAATGTACTATACAATGTAGTGTTTTTTATATAATATTTATTAACTTTTGTTTAAATTATAATTTTTAGTTGTTGTTTATAATTCTTTTGTTGTTTTTTTAAAATAAAGATATTTTATGAAATTTCATTTTTAATTTAATTGTTTTTTTTTTATTATAATACTAAAGCAAAAGCTATTATATTACTTTAAGCTATCGATATTATTAACTATCGATAGTTTTAGCTATCGATAATGGTAACTATCGATAATGGTAACTATCGATGATCACGCTGTCTTAGTGTATTATACAACCACCGGGAGCAGTTATGGCGGTCCAACAATTTAACACAGGAGTGGCTTATCTATTTTATATACTTGTCTATGAATTGGCCCATAGTGAAAATAATTCGTATATACGCCAGTGTATCAACATATAGCAACGAATAAAAAATAATAATATTATAAGGACTACGCTAACCGCTCAGAATCGTTTTTCGTATACAATGGTTTATCATTGTATTCAAATATAAACATCCATTACAAGTTACAACTACTGTACAGCAGAGCTGTACCCACTTGTCCACCTATTTTTAAAATAATATTTTAATTAAAAAGAAAAAAGTCATTCCAGATAAATGTATTATACATGTAGACATGTAGTGATATATTATATTATATTATGATGAGGATGTGTCAATAATCAATACACAATAGTTTAAAATCATGACGAAATAACAATTCGTCATGTTTAAAATAATAAAAATATCTATCTATATAATATGTATAATGCCTTGTCCTGAATGATTCATCATCACCTAGCCGGAACTGCTGAAGCTATGAGTATGACATTAGGACAGTTATTTTGTAATGTGGACACTGGACACCCACTAAGAAAAGATTTTCCAGTATTCCTATTTTTAAGAGGTTATCAAACCGACTACAATTTACATTTGAAAGTTAATTGCATTTATAGTCACTATAACAAATAAGCGCTAGTGAGTGAGTTTCCAGCTGTTTAATACCATTAATACTAATAATGGAGATTCATTTCGGTAGACACTTTTCTATATACTAAATACTTAGATTCGTTGGGCCACTTGGGCAACCATACCACAGAATAATTATTCTGTGACCATACTATCTTTAATCGTGATTAAAATCATGACAATTTATTCATCATGGTCGATATAACTATATATATAGGTATATGAATATGATTGTGAACACGGTTCATTAAGACCGTGATAGTGAATAATGTCAGAAATCAGAATGTCAGATTAAAATAATATGATGGTTGCCGGTTGCCGGTTGAATACTTGGAATTTGAATTTGCAAACTTAATAATTTTTCATCTTATTAGTTTCAGTACTTCTATTTGTATAATTTTAATAAAAATGTATACAAATCAGTACACTCCTCAGTATTCGCAATACAATCAACAATATCAGCAATATTCATCTAATTACTATCAAATATATAATAATTATAACCAACAACCAGCTTATAACACTCCACCACCAACGCAGCAAACAGCTACAACATTAATAAGCCCAAACGTGCCTCTCCAACAGCCACAAGCATCAACTCCTGGACAAAATGTTTCAAGTATTTGGATGGGAAGTGTATGTTTTGTGAAATAATTTTTAATCTTAACTATAAAGTACCTACCTATTATTATTTTAGCTGGAACCTTATATGACTGAGAGTTTCATCACTGGTGCATTTCAAAAGATGGGAGAATATCCTAAGAATGTTAAGTTGATGCGCAATAAAAATACTGGTGAAACTGCTGGCTATGCGTTTGTTGACTTTTATGATCCAGTATCTGTTATGCATAAACTGAATGGAAAATATATACCTGGTACTAATCCAGTAAGTTGTAATTTTGGTTTTTAGTTATCTCGTTGGTCGCTGGTCGCTGAGCCAAGTCTAATTGTAATTTTTCATAGACCTATAAAGAATTTCTTTATAGGTGTATGGTAATTTTACTATTGAAAAACTAGCAAAAACAAGGGTTTTATTTTCACATTTATCGATATAGTCAGATAATAGTATATACAATTAAAGTTATAAATATAATACAATCAATAACATATATTAATATTACCAAATTGCAAACTCACAGCCCACAGGATCCGACACAAACTTGTTCAGTGGGGGCTATTTCTTGAAGAATAAATAAAAATATATTTACATACTGATGCCATACAAATATAGACAACAGGACACACAAAAATAACAATATTTCTACAGTAGAGGCAGCTAGCTGCTTTGGTAATGAGGCTTAATGGTTATCGTGACTAATGACTACCGATATAATTATTGTCCAGTAAACTCAATTCTATTATTGCAATTACTGTAAATTAACTGCGTTATATCTATAAAACAAAATATTATAAGTAGGTCTGTCAAACAAAACATAAATCATAAAGTGTATAAAACATATTATGCACGACCAACAAACTAATTTCTTGTTAAAAATTAATATTACTTTTTCTTAGCGTATTGACTGTAGTATTGTATCGTAGGGATGAGTCCATGGGTTACAAACCCAAATTATACACAGACGACAGATATTTTGGAAACGTACATAATATAATATGTATAATCTTTTAAAATAAGTAAATAAACTCAATTCAAAATAAGACTGTGACCAGGCGGCTGAGTTGTGCGCATGGGTTTGGCTTTGATCCGTGGCAGCGCCCTATGCGTCACCGTAGTGGGAACAGCGTCTGACCACCGCCCGATGAAAACTGGTCGCCACCTAGTCACTGTTTTATTTTGAATAGAGTATAGGTGCCTATACATGTTACAGAATGTAAGGAATTGGTTTGTTGGCATTTGCTTTACTCTTTAAGTTTTGTTGGTAAAACCTACTTATATTATTTTGTATTGTATATTACAACATGTTCTTTTACTATTATGAGTCATATTCTATTTTGTTATATTATATATGTTATATTATGCTATTCAAATGGACTAGTATTTTAATTCTTCTGACAGAAAACAATTTGTTACAATTGCTGCTAATGTTATTTTATCTCCTCAACCTATAATAGCATAATAATATTGTCTAATAAATAATTGCTGCTTGACATGCTATGTAGCCTATGTGTCTTAATTAATTTTGATTTTAATCAGACAAAATTACTCCGAATAATATTCTGCTTTGGAATATAAAATTAAAAATGTATTTTATCATTCAAAAGAAAAAATCATAAAAAATATCATTTTCAGAAATGTTGTTTTGAAATGATTTAATATTATCTAAATAAAATTTCTATAAGTTTATACTTTGAAATAATGAGTGTAGATAACTTAAATGAATCACCTGGTATAATTATATATTATACTATACATGTTTGTATCTTGTATACTATTAAAGATGAATTAAATATGAGTAATTATTATTTTAATTTTAAATAGCATGCATAATTTTTTTTTTAAACAATTAATAAAATCCTTAGATGTTTTTTTAAAATAAAGCTTTTAGATTTTACAATTACATAAATAATTTTGGATAATTATTGTTTACAGCCTGTTAGATTTAAACTAAATCATGCTGGCAATCCTGGAAAAATTACTACAAGTGATAGAGATTTTTCTGTGTGGTTAGGTGAGCTTAGCTCAGATGTTGATGACTATCAGTTATATAAAACATTTGCTTGTCGCTATCAATCTATACGTACAGCCAAAGGTAATAACAGAGTAATAATGCTAGTTTGAAATAATATAATTACTATAATTAAGCATTTTATTTATAAATCCTATTTTTACATAGGTTATAGTAGTTTAATATGTAGTTTTAATTTTTCAGTGGTCTTGGACAGTGCGGGTTACAGTAAAGGATATGGTTTTATTCGTTTTGGCAGTGAAGAAGAGCAAAAACACTGTCTTAATAATATGAATGGTTTTCCAGGCCTTGGTTCCAAACCCATAAAGGTTAGCAGTGTCATACCAAAATCAGAACGCCATATTGTTGTGTAAGATATAATTTTTTTGCTATTTTTTAATTAACTTCACAATATATTTTAAATGTATAACAATAAAGTATTCAATTCTACTATCTCAAATAATACAATTTTTTATTGTGAAACTATAAGCCCTTTAAAGGCATGTCTAAATTAATTACTTGCACACTTTGTTATCAAGTTGTATGTATTTTACTAATCTATTAACTATTGAGATTAGGTCCTTTTTGTATTCTAATAACATAAGTTTGGTATTTCGACATAATTTATACACTATGAATTATGAAACATTATAAAGTGAACCCAATTTTATACCAACCAGTAACTATACTGTGAACGCTACTTCTTCGCTCACCCAAATGAATAAACTCCGAAGTTTCATGCCTAAATTTCTCTCATTCTATTACCTACTTTCCGCTGTTGTTTGAGCTGGTAAAGTAGTGTGATTAGTGTGAATGCTCGAAAGTGGATGATTTTTGGATGCAGCCCAGTAACGTTCTCTAACTATACCGTGTGTAAATTACATCAAAAACTCCAACCAAACAAAACATCCATGATC